GGTATTAGAATAATTTGTATAGCGTATGAATGCCCCTTAAAATATATAGTTATGCTGTCCAGATTTTTACGGTCCAGTTTTGTCCGGTCCAGATTTCTACGGAATTCAAATTTTAAAATTCCAGATTTCTACTGTCCAGATTTTTACAGTCCAGATTTCTACTGTCCAGATTTTTACAGTCCAGATTTCTACTGTCCATATTTTTACGGTCCAGTTTTGTCCGGTCCAGATTTTTACGGATTTCAAATTTTTTATTTCCAGATTTCTACTGTCCAGCTTTTTACAGTCCAGATTTCTACGGTCCAGATTTTAAAGTCCAGATTTTAACATTCCAGGTTTTTACGCGCTCCCTATATTATTTATGATAATTCGGTTGGCATTTTGTTTTTTTTGTTTTTTTGTCTTTGTGTGGCTTGGGCCATCCAATTTTTAATGGGTTTTTCTATTTCTGAATTGGCGACATCGCTGTATTTTTTGATTGAACGTACTGCTTCTAAAAATTAAAAATCATAAAATGGCTATTATCTATATCTATATAAAAATGGTATGATTGTAAATTTGATTTTCATAACAGTATTTTCAAACTTAATAAATTCATTTTTATAAAATTTAAATATAATATTAATTTTAACTTACCAAATATAACAGAGCAACATTGTAATGTTGAAAACTGGTTTTTTCCTTTACAACCGATGAAGGAATATTTCATCAAAAAGTAATCATTGAACATCATTTGCATCATTTTCCTGATGGTCTCTGCTAAAGTGTTACTTGAAAAACGAGACAATGTTCTGATCTTTAAAAATATACAAACATAAATTCATAAATATTTCTCATTTGAATGGATGTTGATTATCATTATTGTGACAAGGGCTCCAGTTATAGAATGGGATATTATTAATATAAAAAACTAAGTTTAATACATTTTCTTTAGACATAACCTTTACTTAATGCCTTTGGTTATATTAATACATAACTATTGGGGCTATTATCTACCATTAATAATGTATTAAGGTCAGTTCTCATAGATTATAAAATTTCTCATACTATTTAAAAAAAAATAAAAATGTTGATACTTAAAAAGAAAATAGTTCTATAATAGTATCTTATAAACATCATAAAGTATTAAAAATATGTTTTAGTATTTTAATTAATATTGTTATTTAAAATAATTTATATTAAAGTATTTTAATGATATTATTACCACATTAGATCGATATAAGGCATCATTTATGAATTTACTTTCTGCCTTTTGCAAATTGTCGTCATTATCAATGATAATAATATCTTCTTGAATATCTGAAGTAAAAATGTTTGGTTGTACTGAAAGCTTGCCATCTATTTTTTCAAGCAGAGTTTCTAGAACATCCATACGCGTGTGTATATTTTGAATATCATACTTCATAGTGATCAGACTTCTTCTTATGTTGGTTTTAAAAGCTGAAAATGTAATAGTTGGGTTGCTATATTAATAAAATAATTATGATCACAAAAATGATTTAGAGAAATATTTTATAATGTATACGTTACCTTGATCACTTTCAAGTTCAGTCTGAGAAGGAACCAAAGGGTTTTTGTCAATTGATGTTTTGTCTACTAACACATCAGGCGATGATGCAGAATTTGTTGTTGAAACAGAGGTATTATTGTATAGTTTCAATTTTTTATTGGATGATATTTCAAACGCAGATGTTGGTGTGTATGGTAAGTTTACTGGTGATTTGTAACTAGACACAATTTTTGAATTTGAAATCTCATCATCAAATAAATTATCTTCATCATCTGAATATAGTTTGGACTTATTTAATTGTACTGGAGTGTATGTTCTATCTATATCTGAATCATCTCCATCATCAGATTCTATATTAATTTTAAAAAATTACAAATAATTACAAATTGTATTACATAATACATTAATACATAATACATATTACATTCTTTTGAATTAGTTCAAGTAATTAAAAACATTTTTGAAACAAATTGAACATTATTTTTGCTAATAGATTTATTTGTATTTAAATATAGCATCCTCTATAGTCTATGTAATATTATAATTCAGAGATTATTATTTATTCAAAATATTTTATTATTTATAACAGCTTTTAAAAATTCAAATTTAGAGGTGTTGTGGAACAGATATTGTCTCCTTTATTCTTTTATTATATTCTACTAAGACATAATTTATAAAGATAAATCAACAGAATCGATATTGAATTGCAAGTGAGTTTTAGTATTATGCTATACAACTGCACTACTATTAAGTAGGTACTCTACTAAGTCTACTATACATCCCCTACATTCATATTAATTGTTTTATGGTATTGTGTAATTATTTATCGCATGGTGTTGCATAGTATTTAATTATCCAACCATGTGTATTACACAATGAGTTAGTAAATAATTACCTATATAAACAATTATTATGAAAATAATTAAACTGTCTAATAATATTATAGGTAAGGCACCTTCTGAAATATGAGTAGGAGGACTTGGAATTAAGAGCGTTTCTTTTGTCTTGTAAGTTATAGGTTTTCGAGTTCTTTTTTTTGCAATAACATTATAATCGTCATTGGACGACAATCCAGAATTGTCCTGGGCCAAAGATCGAGCTTCCAACAAGCTACCTATAAAAAAAATGCAAATGAATGTTATTTATTTTAGTTTTTATTGTTCTTAATAAGACATATAATATAATTACCTATATTAAAATGCAATACTTTACAATCAAAGTTATCAAATTCCAATTGATTTGGATTTGCACGTCGTTCAATTAACTTTTTGGCTGATTTTTTTGGCCATGCACAAGTACTGTTGCGAACCCAGAAATGTGGCACAGCAGCTACTGTGTTATCCATAGTGAAGCAAACCACGTTCCACATATTCTTGAAGAACAAGAAATCAATTCAATTATAAATATTATTTATATTTAATTTTAACATGAATTTGACATTGAAAATAAATTACTAATGAGTAATGAACTTCTAATTGATATGTGCTATTTTATAATTTCTGCATACCAAATTTAATACTATAAAATGTAAAAATAAAATGTGTTTTTCAACGAAGAAAGTAAACAAAACAAATTATACTATATACCTATATATATTAGATAATAAGAAAATCATTTTACCAATTTTATAAACTAATTTTGAACAATTATTTATAGTCTTTACACATCACTATACTAAACAGTTTATAACATTATTATATTAATAAAATAATACCTAATATAAGCAGTTAAGTATAGCTTATAACTAATATAATACTTAAAAAATAAAAATATAATTTTATATTTAATTATGTATAATACATATTTATAATAGTAAATATTTAGTTTTTATAGCAGGTACAACTACTTATTGAATACAATTTATTTTAATATTGGTATAGTTATCAATATATCATCAATATCAAAAATCATCATTTTTTTTTTTATATCAGATACACACCATTCTTTAGTATTTTTAGATAAATCTTTAACAATAAATATATCTAGTTTAGATGATCTTATTGGTTTTTCAAACATATCTTCTTTGGAGTTGAATTTTCTACCTACAATTGTTGTAGAATTTGATAAAATGTCAACTATTCGAACTATTTCTCCTCCAGTTGTTAGTACAAAGCAATCTGGCTTCTTGGTTGTAAATGTATTATATTTACTATTAGTGAATGTAATACTGTCATTGTTGCCGCTGTCAGCTCTTATTAATATTAAATAAGTTGTGCCTTCACGACTGAATCATGTGTATATATGCTTGTAAAATATAAAATGAAAACAAAAATGTGTGTTGGCAGTTCTGTATTTTTTATTGAGCAATAATAATAATAATTTGTTTTTCTTTTAATTAAATAAATAAAATAATAAATTGCCAGGTAAGTTTATAATAATTAGGTACAATATAAATATAATATGTAGCCTCTTGGCTTTTAACAATGATACAATACTGCTGTAATGCAAATAATAATAATACAAAGTTTTCTGACTAGAATATGAATGAATAGTTTAACAAATGAATAATATAAAACAAGTGCTTGATTAGCACAAAATAATATAATAATAAATGACTAAATGAATAATATAATAATATGCAGCTCGTCAGCTGATTACCTTTAGAACTGGTGTCCGTTAGCGGCTTCGAACCAAACGCTACCGTCTCAGGATGCACACATTTGAACAATAGAAAATACAATATTATAATACTAAATGTGTGACAATCCCGAGAACGTACGACTAACGGGCCACCGCCCACCAGCTCAGACGAATAAATCACAGTGTACATGCAAATCACAAATGGCAAAAATTCACGTGCTTCTGTAAGTATCTCTTTGAGCGCCCTGAATTGGGGAATAATATTAATGAATGAACTAAAACAAATGACTGAACGATACTTACAGAAGGCAATTTACAGATGATGTACACAAAATGATTGACTGAATGTTGAATGTATTGTATTGACTAGAGAATGAAATTAAATGTCTATGTATTGTATTTTAAAATGAATTAAATACTGACGACTGACTATTAAAAACACCGAACAACCGTGCACCTCAGAGGTCGTGTGAAAGAAAACAAAAAAAACGAGTTTTACATTAACGGACATGCAACAAGCAACGAGAACTGTACGAATGGGCTTTCAGTGCCACCACACTAAAACGAATAAACATAAAAAAAACTAATGACTTTGTGACACTGAAAGCATGACTTGACGAGAAAAACTTTGAACGAATATGACTTTTGAGAACATAAATTGATAACGGTCACGCAGCTGGCCGTTCGCACACGGAAATATGATAAGAATTTATTTGATTGCGGCTGCAGCTGCGGACCGCACCGTTGCATGCACATGAAGAAAAATGATAACAGTAAACAAAATGAAAATTATACAAATGACTACCTTAAACATGAACATACTCCCCCCTTTGAAAGTACCTATCTTTCAAAATTTACATATCATGTAGCAAACAAATTAAATAATCGGAAGCTGACAGAGGAGTATGCATTCTTTAAACATGAATCTTGAATAATACTAATATGATTACTGAAAAATAACTCATCTTTAAGAGATGTGGCTAACACTGCCCAACTAAATAATAATAACATAATTTATAAATAGTAACAATAATAATAAAAAAAAACATAATTTTTTTTTTAAATCCCTAATCTTCATCATCGTGATCCTTTTCGGTGGGTAGTAGGGATAACTTGATTGCTGGACGTCGAAATTCAGACCCAGTGGAATTTCGCACGGTCACCGCCCTAACAACACCATCAGCCCCAGGATGAACTGCTGCTACGCGGACTAATGGCCATTTAAGGGGTGGCATGTTGTCGTCACGCAAGACTGCAAGATCACCAACACAAAAATTTCGATTCGGCTTGGTCCATTTACCTCTTCGGTGGAGTTGAGGCAAATATTCTTGTGACCACCGCTTCCCGAAGAGCTGCATTTGCTGCCTCATAAGTGAATATCGTTTTAAGCGGTTCTGCGGTATGGATGATACATCGGGCTCAGGTGGTAGCATGAGAGGACCACCAATTAAGAAGTGCCCTGGTGTCAGTGCATTGAAATCGTTTGGATCTAATGAAAGTGGAGATAGAGGCCGAGAGTTTAATGCAGCTTCAATTTGACATAGTAAAGTTCTGGTTTCATCAAATGTTAGCAACACTCCCTTCGACACTCGAAGAAGATGCTTTTTAGCTGACTTGACTGCACTCTCCCACAACCCTCCAAAGTGTGGGGAAGCAGGTGGTATAAAGTGCCACGTAATTTCTCGCATAGTAAGAAAATCATGTACTTTATTGCTGTTTACAGTTGCCTTGAAATATGTTTTAAGTGTACGGTCTGCACCTACAAAGTTTGTGCCGTTGTCGCTGTAAAGGTCCATACATTGACCTCTCCGTGACATAAAACGAGATAGTGCAGCCAAAAAATCTTCAGTAGACAGTGATGACACTAATTCTAAATGGATGGCGCGAGTAACCATGCAGATAAACACACAAATATAACTTTTTGTCGGTGATATCTTTCTCAGCCCACTGCGCACGAATATTGGGCCACACAGATCTACTCCACTATTGGCAAATGGTCGAGCAATAGTAACACGTACGCTGGGCAGGGGCGCCATTAATGGTGGAGTAAGTTGAGGGCGCGCTCGGAAACAGGTTACACATTTTTGGACGATTTGTGTTGCAATCTGTCTTCCCCGGATTGGCCAATAATTTAATGTTACGTGGGCAAGCAATGCCTGTGGTCCTGCATGCATGAGCCGAATATGCTCATAATTAAAAATTAGCTTGGTAATCAATGATTTTGACGGTAGAACAATAGGATGCTTTGTATTGTATTGGCCAGGAGCATAAGCAAGCCGTCCTCCTACTCTGACCAAACCCTGATCGTCAATGAATGGGTTTAAGGCTTTTAAACAACTTCCACGATGGATCATCTTACCAGAACGCAAATCTGCTATTTCGTTTGACATTGACTCAGACTGAGCCTGCATTAACCAAAAACTTCTGGCTTTATTCATTTCATCCACAGAAATGAAACCATTGCATCGCTCATGGTTTAACTGTTTGGCTTTGCAATTAGAAACAAAACATTGAACTAAAGCTGTAGTTCTTAACAATTTGGACCACGTAGAATACTTCTTCAACAGCCAAAAAGGTTCTTTATTCGTTGTTGCTAAGATTAATTTGACTTTGCGTATCTCAGGTATCTCCGATGGCAAAATTGGTGTGTCAGGCCAACAGGACCTTTCCTTCTTGAGCCACTTTGGCCCTTGCCACCATAACTCGGATGAGACCATAGTCCCAACATCAACTCCTCTGGATATGAGGTCTGCAGGATTATCAGCGGTGGGTGTGTGATGCCATTGAATTTCACATGAGAGCTCATTGATTTGGGCAACTCTGTTGGCAACATAAACTTGAAGTGGTTTTAGACTATTTAACCATGCAAGAACAATAGTTGAATCTGTCCACAGGTGTATGTTTTCTGTAGACAATTTAATGTTTATATTTGAAAATTCATCTTTAATCTCTTTTACTAACTCTGACAGTAATAACGCGCCACACAGCTCCAGACGGGGAATAGTGGTGGTTTTAATTGGCGCAACCCTAGATCTAGCCGTAAACAATTTAACTTCAGCATCACCATCTTGCTTACTGGACCGAATGTAAATGCAAGCACCGTAGGCATGCTGGGATGCATCACAGAAACCATGAAGTTCATAACTGTCTGACTCAGGTAATAATGCTAGTCTTGGTATAATCAATCCATTGAGTGCAACCAAACTTGAATAAAATTTTAACCATTTTGATCTTATCTCTTCTGATAAAATGTCATCCCAACCTACTTTAAGACTCCATACTTGCTGGATAAAAATCTTGCCTTTGATCACCACTGATGATAATAGTCCAAGCGGATCATAAACACTATTTATATCTGATAGGAGTGTGCGCTTACTTATGTGCTGAGGGGCATTCCAGTTTTTCATTGCAAACCGAAAGCTATCTATAGATGGTTGCCAAAGAAGTCCCAACGCGCTCAACACCTCAGTTTCAGTAAGATTTATCATAAAGTTTGGATCCTTCTGATTATGTGGAAGGCTGTTAAGGAGGTTTGACGAACTTGAACACCATTTACGCAACGGAAATCCAGCAGTACCAAGGATTGAGTGAACTTGTTTATGGATATCAAAACATTCTTCATCAGTGTCACCCCCACTTATAAGGTCATCTACATAGAAATCTTGACATATGATTCTGCCTATGGGTGTGTTTTCAATGAGCGCACCAAGCTCATGGAGGCAGCGTGTAGCCAGGAAAGAGGCTGATTTTGTTCCATATGTGACTGTTTTGAGTTTATAATGCCTTAGTGGTTCTTCAGGTTGCGAACGATATACAATGCGCTGCAAATCACAGTCTTCATCGGACACTAGCACCTGTCGGTACATTTTTTCCACATCATCAGTTAGAGCAATGCGATGTAATCGAAAACGCAACAATATGTTAAATATATCTGGTTGCATTTTTGGGCCCCTGAGCATAATGTCATTCAGCGACAGTCCTGACTTGGATGCCGCAGAGCCATCAAATACAACGCGCATCTTTGTAGTGGTGCTGTCCGTCTTAAACACTGGATGATGTGGCAGGTAATACGTAGGCTTATGAATGGCCGGTGAAGCTAATTCCATATGACCCATGGCAATATATTCAGCAATGAACTTATCGTATTGTTCAGCGAGTACTTTATCTTTTTGAAGTCGTCTCTCTAGATTTAAAAATCTTTTTTGAGCCATGTCTAATGAATCACCAAGCACCTTGGGATCTTGTGCCATTGGTAGTTTCACTATGAATCTCCCACTGCAATGCCGACGACAAGTTGATTGAAAATGCTCTTCGGCTTTGAACTCTTCAAGAATACGTTGATTGGTCTTTGACGTGAAAAACGATAATGCAGATTGATTATGGATCATGAGGTTTGGTAATGTATGAGAAGATGACAAAGTTGAGATTTTGCCTGTTACTATCCATCCCAACTTGGTACGATGCAAGCAAGCTAAATTTGATAATGGAAACTTTTCACCATAAAGTACATCAAAGAATATATCAGCACCTAATAACACATCTATAGGACCAGGACTATGGAAGTTTGGATCTGCCAACTGGTTGTGTATGTTATGAGGCATTTTCAAGTTGTCCCGAATGAGCACCTGAGAAGGCAAGGCACTGACTATAGTCTGCAGAGAGTAGAACTTGATAGTTGTCCTGAAATCACCAAAACGTGAGATCATAATAGTATCTTGGAGTTGTTTGGCTGTTGATGCCATAGCAGAGACTCCAACAATGTTAAGTGTATGCGAAGCAGTAGACAAGTTAAGTCTTTTAGCACACGAATTTGTAATGAAATTTAATTGAGAACCAGAGTCCAGGACAGCTCGGCATGAATGCATGCGCCCAAAAGTGTCGCATACATTGACAATGGCAGTGGCTAAAATAACATTTAGATTTTCAGCTTCCTGAGCTGATATTTCAGTGTACATAGCTGTTGCATGGGGTTCAGATCTGTCAACATCATTGGCGATAGAAGCATCTTGATTACTGGTGTTTGCTTGTTCCTCATGAAGCTTTGAATTATGCTTTTCCCCACAACGAGGACATGGAGGAAAATAACAAGAAGAAACTTGATGGCCAAAGTTAAGACAGTTGAAACAAAGCCTTGATTTCATCACAAAGTTCCTTCTATCATTTGTACTCTTGTTGTTGAATTTACTGCAAGCATATAATTTGTGATGCTCAGTACATAACGGACATTTGCCAAAAACTTTGTCCTTAGATGATTTTACAAACAATGCCTTTTTTTCATATGTTTTGTTATTTGAACTTTTTGTAGACATTTTTCTTGGTTCATTTGACAGACAATTCATATCCCCTGCCTCATAGGCTGTTATTCTGTTTGCTAGAAATTGTTCTACAGCCACGTAGGAAGGCAGATCTTTACTCTTATACTGTAGATACCACTCCCCTACTGTAGCACTATCCATTTTACTACATAACAGAGTGACCAACCATGCGTCCCACTGTTCGACTGGTTGCTGCAAGGACTTGAGGGCATTGATGTTAGATGTGACATGATGATGCAGCTTTTGCAGTTCACTACAAGACGGTGAGATCACCTTAGGTGTCTCGAGTAGTGAGCGAATGTGTGACTGGATTATAGCACTCTTGTTTTCATACCGATTTACCAACAGATCATAAGCATATTG